CAGATACATAACAATATGTTTATTTTCTGTTCTACTCTGTTAATATTCCCCCACTTTTATGAATACATACTCCAAAACTATAAGGCTGATCTAATTTCAGTTTTAATATAACTTACATGTTCATCCTCAGATTTAATACTATGTTCCCTTTAAAATTATTCCTACCAACTTTATCAAATAAAGATCTTTCAAAGTTAAGAATTATTGTAACAGTAATTTCTAGAAGCTGTAAGTAATATGAAGTTTAGTATTATGTAGTGTAGACATCCCATGGTTTGTTTTCATTTAACTTGTTTATTATTATAAATTATTGACTCATTTGAATTGTAGTTCATTAATGTTTTGCAATTTGCATATCAATTGTGTAGAATTTTACATGCTTAGATAAAGTGAGAGAAGGCTGTATTTATAATGATATATAAATTACCTAAGTGACTGAGTATTTTAGAAAATATGAAGAATTTTAAGATTATAATAAAAATAATCATAGTTTCTCCTTTAAATTTTATCATGCACACAGATATTTTTCCAAACCAATTTGAAATAAGTTTAGTTCATAATAATAGTAATAAAAAGGCTATTGTTTGACAGATTTCAGATCATTCTAGAAGGTGTAATAACCTTGACCAACCTGTATTGGTTGTTAGGAATGGTGCTTAGATCTGTTAGTACAGATAGATCTTCATCATAATAGTGTAGTTTTAATTTCCTCCCTTCTGTTTCAACATTCTTTTTATATATGTGTCATAATTAAAACTAGTGTTAGGGTAAGTTTGTTCTGCACTATAGCTCTGAAAACATTTTCAGTGTCTTCTGATGGTTATTACTTAGTTCTTTATTGCCTTACTATTTCAATTTTAAAGTAACAAACATAGGCTGAGCATACCCTAGTGTGCCCAGACTGTGAATCCAAGGGTTTAGGGTTCATATTCTATTGCTATGAAAGTGAGTTCTGCACTTAGGAGCCATCAATGGGCTATAAGAGTAACAGTTAGATCCCACTTTTTGGTCAGACTAGAGTAGCCCAAGAGTTGACAATGAGTACTGTTGACTAGTTGCCTTCCCTCTAGTCTATCATTTTAACATTAGACATCTATCTGCAGTTAGTTCTGAAAATCAAACAAATAATAAATTAACATTTGTTCTCTGATTATTTGTAGATTATTTCAGTCTCCTCCTGACCGAGGACTTCCAGCAGGCCCATGCTAGCTAAACTTTCTGGAGTGAAGCTAATAGTTTTGAAAACCCTAATTTAGGTTTTGATGTAAAAATAGCATGAAAACTGCAAGTGAGAAGTGGGCAATTTTTTACCCCTACATAATGAACACACACAGAAATAGAATGACTTTATTTTAGGTTCCTGTTGCTTCATCCTTGTTTCATTCATACTGAAACATTAAAGTGAGGTTTTCTTATCCTGCTTATCTTTCTTAGTTAAGTGAGAGATCTGAGATCAGATGGTTTTATGGTGAATAAGTCAGAAATTTGGATAAATGGTAAATAGCAGTATTCACCAAAATAAAAAAATATATTTTATTGAGAACAAGTACTTTCTGTTTGGTTTCTTTATCAAGAAATTTGTTTCTCTGATGTACTATGCAGTTTATTGGAAAAATATGACAAATCCCACATGTTAACGTTCAAAGATCTATCTTATTAATGATAATATTACTAGTTAGTCTTGTTTCAATACATACATTTGATGTATGACTTGGTAAGGCAATATTACAGTGTTATTCCCTGTCTGTAAGTTAAGCATGTATTACATTATTGTGGTTTATTTTTAGTTTTTAAGACTTCTTGGAATCACAGCTCCTGTTTTAACATGCCAAAAATCTCAACATTGTATTACATATGTGTAATAAAGTTGTCATTTCTTACATTTTGATTTTTATTTTCAACTTAACCTTCTAGTCTTTGACAAGGTTAATCCAGTCTCCTCATGAGGCCTTTAAAGATGAAATTATGGAACACTCTAGAGAACATGCCCCCAGGTATAGAATTCTTAAATAATTTTCTTGTAGTGGTTATAAATGGTCAAGAAGTCCTATAGTTTATATCTTTAATAATTGAGTTACGAGGTGTTTTTGCATGGTAAAATACTGAACAATGTATTTGATGTATAACTTTTTTTTTAAATGTATTCACTAAAGGAGAACAAAATGTTCAGTTTAATATGTCAAAAATACTTATAAACTATTTAAAGTTAACCAATTTTATGATGTTGCTAAGCAGGGAATATTTCAGTATTGATGCAAGATCTGTCAATTTAAACAAAAACATAATTAATTTCTTGTCTGATTCTGTTTATTACAAACTGAAATAAAAGTATACATAAAAGTTGCTTCATCAGAAATTTCATCTGGTTATACACATTATTAAGAGAAAAACACACACACTAGTGGCATATTCAGTGTTTTGTCACTTAACTTAAACTTTAGTGGACATAAATCTCACGAAGCCGAGGATATTCTGTTATATAGTTTCACATTTAAGATACCACAGTTGGCCCAAAGCTAAGCTAACATTAAAGCCCAGTTATTATGAAGTTACACTTTAAATTGTCTGTTAGATTTTTTTAATGGTAGGATAGACCAGTAATATAAAATATAATCTTTCTAGTGACAACCATTTTTCTGTAAACAATGTGTATTGTAATTTGTAAAGTTTTTATTTTTCACATAAGTCAGATGCATTTTCTCTATTAATTTTAACTTTAGGTGATAAACTATTGAAACAGTTTTACTGTTCATTAAGAACACTCTTTCGTTAACCTTATTAACAGGCTCCATAGCTACATAATGTATGGTGGACTGGGTGTCAGTTTATATTTAAGAAATAGATATTATTAGGATTCATGTAAAAAACGTGTATATTAATTTTTTAATTGTTATATATATATATTATATATTGAAATAGTGGTACATTTTTCAAAAATGCTATGGTTTGGTCTGCTTAATGTTAAACATAACATGTAATATGCTTGCTTTTTTCATGATAAAGTAGTTTTAAGATACTGAAAACATTGAAAACATAGGACTGTTCTATATATAGTTGTAATTATACAAAAAAAAAACACATTAAAGCCATGATGCTACATCAAAACATTTTTTGCTTTCTTATTGCTTGGAGTAATAGAAAAAAGTCTGATCACTGATTTACAGAGTTTGTTATTAGGTTGCTTTGATTTATCCAGCTTTTCACTAGTTAATGTTAGAAGAACATACTCTCTGTACTGTCCTCCAGTTTCTTAATGCTAACAGTAGTAATAATTTTTTATCAGAATGATTCAGCGGCTAGAAACCTGGTTAGAAGTATCAGAGGCATGGAATACAACCCATCCTATGACTCCAACTACTCCCACAGCTTTCTGGGAAACCCATAAAAAGAATGGTGAGTTAAAAAACAAAAACTCTTTGTAATTATAATGATTGTTTTTAGCTAGAACATGATTTAGTACAGAAAAATGATAATATTCTAGTCTCATTTACTTTTTGCTTACCTATTAAATAAAAATACACATACTGCAGAAAATAAAGTAACCTGAAAGTGAAATTGAAATTAAATTAAGTTGAAGAAGAATATCGCAGTGCATTGATTAAGATTAGTATAATTGTCAGCTTTTCGTATTGTTTAAATGTTTTAAAAGAAAATAATAGAATTTCAATATCCTTTGTGTTGAAAGAAGAAATGAAAAAAGTTTAGGATATCCTGCTGAATACAACTTACTGTAGTTAGTATAGAGTATCCTGCTGAAGACAACTTACTGTAGTTAGTATAGAGTATCCTGCTGAATACAACTTACTGTAGTTAGTTTAGGGTATCCTGCTGAATACAACTTATTGTAGTTAGTTTAGGGTATCCTGCTGAATACAACTTACTGTAGTTAGTTTAGGGTATCCTGCTTAATACAGCTTACTGTAGTTAGTTTAGGGTATCCTACTGAATATAGCTTACTATAGATAGTTTAGGGTATCCTGCTGAATACAAGTTACTGTAGTTAGTATAGAGTATCCTGCTGAATACAGCTTACTGTAGTTGGTGTAGAGTATCCTACTGAATACAGCTTACTGTAGTTGGTGTAGAGTATCCTACTGAATACAGCTTACTGTAGTTAGTGTAGAGTATCCTGCTGAATACAGCTTACTGTAGTTGGTGTAGAGTATCCTGCTGAATACAGCTTACTGTAGTTGGTGTAGAGTATCCTACTGAATACAGCTTACTGTAGTTAGTGTAGAGTATCCTACTGAATACAGCTTACTATAGATAGTTTAGGGTATCCTGCTGAATACAAGTTACTATAGTTAGTTTAGGGTATCCTAATGAATACAACTTACTGTAGTTAGTATAGAGTATCCTGCTGAACACAATTTACTGTAGTTAGTGTAGAGTATCCTACTGAATACAGCTTACTGTAGTTAGTATAGAGTATCCTGCTGAATACAAGTTACTATAGTTAGTTTAGGGTATCCTAATGAATACAACTTACTGTAGTTAGTATAGAGTATCCTGCTGAATACAACTTACTAGATTTAGTGTGGAGTTTAGTTCAAGTTTGTATAAGTTCACACCTCTATCCTTTTTGGTTTTAACATTTAATTAAAATTCTGTTTTCAGTTGTGCTTTGTGTATTCTAGTAAGTGTCTAAATGTGATGATTGTTGGTACTTTCTGTTATAATGCAAGTTCTGAACATTTTTTTCTTCTAAAGACATTAATTGACATGTTTGTCATTACTGGTTTCCCTGTTAATTCCTAACATACTGGTTTTAAACAGAACGTAAAGAAATTTTAAAGTGGTATCTACAGTACCATGAGTAGACAAACATGTTTACATCCTTCAGTATGGAGTATGACCACTCACTCACACACACACACATAAAAACATTTGTTTTCATATTGACTTCCAGACAAAAACATAAACTGTGAAATTAGAAAGGAATATTAGTTGTTGTTTCTTAGGAGCTTGAAATATTAACTCTTGTTAGTTGTGTGTGAGTAGAACTTGCATTATATTTTACTGCCAGTTACTTAATAATATTTAAAAAATTGTGAGGATTAGTACTTATCTAGGCAAACATTTTATTAGGAATTTGAATTTTTTGTGACATCATTGTGACTGAGTATTGTATTTCAAAGCTTAAAATTAACTGTTGGATAGTTTTGACTATATAATATTGGAAAATAAAATTTATATTTGAGTAGTGTTTTATTACCTTATATAATTTTTGTTCTTAGGTAAGTTTGGGGAAAGTTTGAACTTAATCTCTGACCCAGAATTTCCTCTTCTACCAGGAAGTAAAGGTTTCTGTCTCACACTTCGTAAATCTCTTGCATCTTATAAAGAAGTGCTCCTGTCAGCAAATATTTTAGTTACCTAGAAATGAGTAAATAGTTTTAATAAATATTTGTCATTTCTAGTCTTTCATACTCCAATAGTACCAGTTAATATATATATATATATATATTCCAATATGTGCTTGTTGTTTTCACTGTTGTGTAAGCAACAAAATAATTGTTTGGCAGATTTGCTTACAGTAACCATTATGTAAAAATTAATAAAATATGAGAGCAACAAATTTGAAAGATGTATACACTAAGTATTATTTAATTAAGATCTTTTGATCTTTTTTGCAATAACATACCTGTTAACTAAGTTAAATGTTTTATTTATAGAATGTAGATTTTTTACTTCTCAGTAAGAGTTCTTGGTCACAGACAATATTATGTTCCAATTGTTACTTCTCTATTTATCATTATTGGATTTTTTGAGATTGAGTGACTTATTATGCAGCCAAATTAATCAAAATCCTTCTGTCATTTTAGCGTAGTAATTAAAACGAAACTAGGTTTTTGTTTCTGTATTGTATTTATACAGGTTTTTTCACGAAATGAAATGTCCAAGATGGGGCAGTTTTGTTCTTTATTTGTAAAAATAAATCTCAAATTTTCTTCTATTTTCTTGTGCTTCTATTTTTTTTTAATATAAAGAAAATTCTAAAAGTATAATGCAGGTTTTTCACATGTGAGATGTTCATTTGTTTCATATAATTTTGTTTTCAAATGTTTTTTAAACAAAAAATAGGTTATAACTCCAGATAATATTTTGTCTAATTCTTTTTGTTCAACATTCATTTTAAATATTCAACTTTCACCTATACACAACAAAATGTTGAGCCATTTAGTCAAAAGAATGTCACCAGAAGTTGATTGGTTGTAATTTGACTTCAAAATTCTTTTCACATTTTCATCAGCAAAACAAAGTTGATTCTTGTTGGAGGCATGTCTGTTTTTACAAGCATCAGTGTGTATCACTTTAGTTTGGCCTAATAGTTATCAACCAGTAAATAAAGCTAGATAAATCTGTAGTAGCTAAATTTGTTTACAGTCTCTTTCCGAATACAGAAGAAAATTTTCAATTGCATTGTTTTTGTAATACACTAAAAATGTTACCTGGTTGTATGTGAAATATTTAAAAAATGTTTTGGTGATTTCTAGATCTACTAAACTTTCTTTTTTTTTATTGATAAAACTACAAAGAAAAGGAAATCTCTTGAACAATTTCTATGTTAATAAAAGTCATTTCCACATTAAGGAAACTTGAATCCAGTGCCAGCTTGTTTAATGCTCTTGTTTTTAAAGCTGAGAGAAGGTATGGATAACATGACTTCAAAAACTATTATTGCTCAAGAGTTCTGTATAATTGTTTTTAGCTTCCAGTGTGTCTGGTCATTGTCAGCTGTACATTCAAGAAGTGTAATGATTTAGCGAATGCAATTATTATCTTATACGTGTAAGAAATGAGTTGAATGTTTGTTTATAAGTTGACTTGTGTCTTATCCTCATTCAGTGTTGTTGTTTTTTACCTGTAAATACACAAAAACATGTAGACAAAGATAAGTTTATGTAACATGGTTGCACAAAGAAAAAAAGAATTAACATAGTACTTATAATTCAGGAACTATATGGTGTTAAAAAGCTTTATATAATAAAGAACCGAAAACAAAGCATTACATAGTTATAAATATCTCATTACTTTTAATTACAAAAAACAACACAAACTTTTGCTAGCATAAAGCAATAAGAAAATCTATCACTCTATATTTTTGTTTTTATTTTAATTTACCAAGCTCTTAAAAACTTAAAGATTGTTGTGTAATAACAAGACATAGAGAATTGACTTAATTAATAGACATGAGTAGTCATGTGTTGGGTGATTTCCACATTATCAGCTGGTTTTATTTTTAATTATAGAATGAATACTTGAAAAACAAACCTTCATTGATATAATTATCTTGCCATTTTTCAATCCATGTCTTTTGAAAAATGTAGTATCTTTACAAAATATATCCAATTATGAAAGATTATAATTTTTGCAAAGGTGGGAATGCTATGCCTTTGAAATTCTTTGTTTGATTGACAGTCCAGGTTGTGGTTGCTTAATTTAATTATTTATGTCAAGAGATACTGATATATTTTTATTTACAAAAATATGTGTAGTACTCTTTCTTAAATAAGGTTTTTCAGATTATTCTCATTAAATTATTGAATCATTTTTTTCTTCAGGAGTTTGGTGATTGGTTTACTAAAAGTAAAGGCATAATTCTATATGCAAACAGCTAGAAAATTCACAATCCAGTGATCAATATCAAAATTATGTTAATTCTAAGTAAAACCTAGCAGTTTGTGAATACCCAACATTCTTGCATGCACATTATATAAATAGATTGTACTGCACCTTGTTTTTCCTAACACTTGAAGTGTAAAAAATTTGAAGAAAATGATTTTTAAGATTTTATTTTTGTAGTTGAACTTACTCATATGAAAGAAGTTACAATTAAGATAAAAAAAAAAAACTTCGGAGTGTTACAGTTTAACTAAGAAAGCTTTTAAAAACATATAATTAAAAAATAATTCTGAGTATTACGGTTTAACTAAATAAGCTTTTAGAAACATATAACTGAAGAAATTCCGAGTGTTACAGTTTAACTAAGTAAGCTTTTAGAAATGTACAATTAAAAGAAATTCTGAGTATTACAGTTTAATAAGTAAGCTTTTTAAAATATATAATTGAAAAATTCTGATTATTACAATTCAATTAAGTAAACGTTTAGGAACATAACAATTAAAAGAAATTCTAAGTATTACAGTAAGCTTTAGAAACTTACATTTAAAAGAAATTACGAGTTTTAACAGTTTAATTAAGTAAGCTTTTAGGAACATACATGAGAGATAACAATTATAAGATTTTTAGAAGAAAAAATTTGGCAGTTTAAATTGTAGGTCAAGAGAAGAGGTTATAATCTTTGATAGATTGGTAAGGCAAAGTATTCATGATGAAACTAAGTTGAATGGATGGCAGCTGCCTGTTGTAAAAACACAAGTGTAAAGGACGACATTTCGAAAGTCTTCCGTCTGAAAACGAAAGACTTTCAAAACATCATCTTTTACACTTGTGTTTCTACATCAGGCAGTTGCCGTCCATTAACTTAGTTTCATCAAGAGGTAATAAATAAAATATTCAGAATATTTTGTGCATTTTAAACTTATGGCTGTATACACTAATTAAAATCACATAGGAATCCTAAAAAACACTCATAAAATACATTTACCAGTGAAACATAGGCTCTGGTTTACAGGAAGATGACATTTTGTGTATTATATTCAGAAGTTTCATAAGTTCTGTTTGTTAGTAATGTGACCAAAACAATTCAGAATTTATTTGTGAAGGAATCTGGTACTGTAATACTTTCACTACATTATGCAGTAGGGCCTATAGCATGATATCTGTGCACTGTGGTGTAAAGTCTACAGCATTTACTAACCTATATCCCTGCAGATATAGTTGTTTTGGGTATGTATTCTAGGAGAATCCCCTATTTTTCTAGTGGTTATATTTTGTGTAGATCAAATGACTACAATGAACCTTAAGGAAAATAACGTGCTTTCATGTAAATGGGGTAAATCCTAGGGCTTCACTATTTTACTTCTACATGTCATTGTTTAACCATAATGAATGGGTTAAATCCTAGGGCTTCACTGTTTTACATCTATATGTCGTTGTTTAGCCATGATGAATGGGATAAATCCTAGGGCTTCACTGTTTTACTTCTATATGTCATTGTTTAGCCATGATGAATGGGGTAAATCATGGGGCTTCACTGTTTTACTTCTATATGTCATTGTTTAACCATAATGAATGGGTTAAATCATGGGGCTTCACTGTTTTACTTCTATATGTCATTGTTTAGCCATGATGAATGGGGTAAATCATGGGACTTCACTGTTTTACTTCTATATGTTATTGTTTAACCATGATGAATGGGATAAATCATGGGGCTTCACTGTTTTACTTCTATATGTCATTGTTTAACCATAATTAATGGGTTAAATCATGGGGCTTCACTGTTTTACTTCTATATGTCATTGTTTAACCATAATTAATGGGTTAAATCATGGGGCTTCACTGTTTTACTTCTATATGTCATTGT